CTGGCCAGCAGGTCAAACGCAACCGACGAAATTTCTCTGCCGCCTGGATAGATTATAAAAAGGCATTTGACTCGGTCCCCCATACATGGCTGAAGAGGGTCCTCGAGCTGTATAAGATAGACGATACAGTTCGAGACTTCCTCGGTGCCTGTATGGGGCAATGGAGTACAATGCTTAGTCTATCCGGTGTGCGGCTGTCGGCTGTAGAAGACCGAATAAAGGTGAATCGGGGTATATTTCAGGGTGATTGTCTGAGTCCATTGTGGTTTTGCCTGGCCCTGAATCCTATCAGTTCATTACTGGAGGCTTCGAGGACAGGCTTTCAGTTCCGAAGGGGGGGCTTGAAGGTGTCCCACTTGTTCTACATGGATGACCTCAAGTTGTACGCTCCTCATGCTGCAGGCGACTGCTTGACATCACTTGTGATTTCAGTAGTCGCATTAGGATGAGGCTGGGAGTCGACAAGTGTGCGGTTCTCCATGTAGAGAGAGGGAGCATAGTCTCATCGGATCGTTTACCTGTATCCGATGGGATAAACCTTCGGGCACTCTCCGAGGGAGAAACATACCGGTACCTGGGCATGTCGCAAAATTTAGGTATTGACGTGTGTAAGAGCCTTTTGTCGGGCGTGAATAAGACAAGGGCGTTTAACGGCTGGGCGATGCCCGTCCTGTTGTATACCTTCGGCGTGCTCAGGTGGACTCAGACCGAACTGGATGCCCTGGATAGAAAAGTCCGCTCAATTATGACCCTCCATAGGATGCTCCACCCGAAGTCCTCGGTAATGAGATTGTACATTCCGCGGAAGTGTGGTGGCCGGGGCCTACTTAGCGCCAAGGTCATGCACAACAGTGGGGTGTGCAGTCTCAGGGAATATTTCCTATCGAGGGCTGACAGTGTGATGCACAGAGAGGTCATGGAATGCGACAAAGGACTGACCCCGCTAGCCCTGGCCAGAGACGGGTGGCAATCACCGGCGGTACTCAGTACCTCTGACCGTGAGGCCATATGGAAAGGGAAAGAGCTGCACGGACGCTTCTTTCAGGCACTGCATGAGCCCCACGTGGACAAAGAAGCCTCCGTGCACTGGCTGCGATTCGGTGACCTCTTTGGGGAAACCGAGGGTTTTGTCTGTGCAATACAGGATCAGGTTATCAGGACGAACAACTATAGGAAGCACATTCTGAGGGATGGGACAGCTGACATCTGTCGATTATGCCGCCGACCGGGTGAATCCCTCAGACATGTCACCTCTGGTTGTTCTATGCTTGCTAACACTGAGTACTTGCACAGACATAACCAAGCAGCCAGAATCCTCCACCAAGAGCTCGCCCTTAAGTATGGCCTCATCGAACAGAGGCTACCGTATTATAAGTACCAGCCGGACGCTGTACTCGAAAACGACCGTGCCAAGCTCTACTGGGACCGGCCCATCATTACGGACAGGACTATTCTTGCGAATAAGCCTGATATCGTGCTGATGGACCAGACGGAGTCTCGGGTATTTCTGGTGGATATCACCATCCCCTACGACGAGAACCTCGTGCGGGCCGAGGCAGATAAAAAGACCAAATATTTGGACCTGGCGCACGAGGTGACCGACATGTGGAGGGTGGTATCTACAGAAATAATCCCGGTAGTTGTGTCGGTGAATGGTTTGGTCCCTAAAAGCCTCTCAAAACATCTCGAGAGGCTTGGTCTCAACAAAAAGTCGGTGGTGGCCCAAATGCAAAAAGCAGTCTTGCT